ATTACAAAGTACCCTTTATGTAGTTTTTTAGTTTTTTACATTATGTTCTCAAAGCTTTCTAATTTCATAATAAGTAGTTATTTATTTTTAATAAATCATCAATTTAATTAACAGTTTTAATAATGTGAATTTAAATTAACAGTTTTATAATATTAAATTTACTTTCAATTAATAATTAGATAAATTTTTATTATTATAGAAGTAGACAAATTAAAATTTTAATTATTTTTAATTTAATTCTATTAAATAATTTTTTGACATGTAAATATAAAAAATAGAATTATATTTTAAACAAATTTCATGTAATTTATCTTTTTTTCTCTTATTTTATCTACCCATATTTCTCCCTAATATTGATCATCCGAGTGAACAACGTTCTTCGTGTAAACCATTAGGGCTTGATTTGCTTCTTCAAATTTCAAACCATCCCAACTTTTTCTCCATCTAATCACAGCGCATAGGTATTTCTTCAAAGGAATCATTCAATCTGTGTTCTTCAGAACTCTCTCTCTCTCTCTCTCTCTCTCTCTCTCTCTCTCTATATATATATATATATATAAATGCATCATTGTAGTAGCATGTCATAGATCAGCAGCAACCGCAACAAGAAGAAGTAAGTTGTTATTACTTGAATTCTAAGCAAGAAAAGGTCTGGGGACATGACGACGACTAGGCGGGTGAGCAAAGCAGCAGTTGAGGAGGAGATGGAGCTCGATCTGGATGCGTTTCTGGTTGGCTCACCGACTACAAGCGACGAAGACGATAACCAACTCCTTCACATCCCTCGTCGAACAGTCGACGAAATCCTCAACGATTCCTCCTCCTCCTCCTCCTCCTCCACCTCACCTTCTACTTCCTTCCTTCGACGCCCTCCTCCTCATCCACATCATGAGGACAATACTACTACTACTAATAATAAGCCCTCCTCTTCCTCCTCTGTATCGTTATCTGCCCCTAAGTACCTCCCGGACTCTCGATTCGATGATGATGATGAGGCCCTTAACTCGATTCCTTCCCATTCCCACTCCAATTCCAAATTTAAATTTAGTCGGATGGAATCGGGTGGAGATTCTTTTTATTTAGGTGGTCGGAGTAATTTGTTGTTCGGCGGCGTTGGCGTTAGGTCAACTGCGAAGCCTGGTGCTGCACTTGCTGCTGCTGCTGCTGCTTCCCGATCCATTCCCACTCCTCATGCTAATGCACTTCTTAAATCTAGAAGAGAGACAATTTCGATGATGATGATGAGGCCCTTAACTCGATTCCTTCCCATTCCCACTCCAATTCCAAATTTAAATTTAGTCGGATGGAATCGGGTGGAGATTCTTTTTATTTAGGTGGTCGGAGTAATTTGTTGTTCGGCGGCGTTGGCGTTAGGTCAACTGCGAAGCCTGGTGCTGCACTTGCTGCTGCCGCTGCTGCGTCCCGATCCATTCCCACTCCTCATGCTACTGCACTTCTTAAATCCAGAAGAGAGACAATTGGTGCTCTGCGTAATGTTTTAGAAGACAACAACACTCCTCCACAGCAAGAATTGACTTCAAAAACTAGTGCTGATTCCGATGCCTGTGCTGCTCAACCTGAGGCCTCTGCTGTCTCCAATGATGATGGTTCCAATGGTGTTGCTTCTTCTGAGATTAGTCACAAGTCATCATCATCATCAGAAGAAGATGTTCCATGGGATAATTATAAATCTGCAGTGCCGGTGGATGGGGAGGCTTTGACAGACTGTGACAGACAGGAGGAAGAACTAGCAAAACAAGCATCTCAAGTGCACAAATTATGGGTTAATGATTCGCAACAAGTTTCCTATATTAAACCCCAAATCAAATCTCCTCTTAACCCTGATGAAGATGATTTGAAGAATGTGGAAGACAACACCACAATCTCAATTGGCAATGATTTCAAAGATGACCACCATGTCCCATCATCATCTCCATCAGGGAATGAAAATAATGGTGTTATTTCAGAATTTGTTGAAGATATAGAAAAGGGGATCGCTTCTTCTACTGGCGCTGATGATGATGGAGGAACAAGTATTGAGGAGGAGGAATTGACAACTGTAATAATGTCGGAAACGTCTCAACTTGAGAATGCCGTGCCTGGTTCTAGAGATGAAGAGAGTCGTACTACTACTACTGCTAGTTCCAAAAATAATGTTGTGGATCTGGTTGAGGGCGGAATTAGTCAATGGGAGGAGAGCAAGAGTGGTGGTACTAAAAGGACTGAAAAGAAATCGCACCCTTCCCTTAATCCCCTTGAATTAGCTGAAGAACTTGAGAAGAAACAAGCCTTCAGTGGTTTGGATCGGGAAACTGATATTGCTGCTCAACCAATGAGACTTGAGGGAGTCCGGAGGGGGTCAACTGCCCTTGGATACTTCGATGTTGATGCCAGCAACACTATCACTCGGACCATCTCATCTCAGGCATTCAGGCGGGATCAGGGATCCCCACAAGTTGTGGCCGTTCATCTCAACTTGATTGCTGTGGGAATGTCAAAAGGGGTGATTCTCGTTGTGCCCAGTAAATACACTCCTCATTGTGCCGACAACATGGATGCAAAGGTTACTTACATCTTCATTCACTCATGTCTTTTCTCAATTTATTTATTTAAGGATTTGGCTTTAGTTTTTGTATTTTTAGGCATTGCCCCCAAGAACATCTCTTCTGTGTTGCTGTGCCTTACTCTAGCTAAAAATAAATAGGTTTTGACAAATACAGTCAATTGTATACATCCATCCAAGAGGGTAACAAAGATAATTACTTTACAGAAATCGAAGTGGCAATGAATTTCCCTTCTTCAGTGGGGAATCTCCAGTACTCAAAATCTTACCTGTCAAGCAAAGTTTGAGTTTTAATGATGATGGCATAGTGTGCATGATTTTTGCATTTTGATCTTTTTAATAGAATTAGCTATGCTCCTGCTAAACTATGTTAAACATATGCCAGATGTTGATGCTTGGATCACAAGGGGATAATTCTCATTCCGCAGTAACAGCCATGTGCTTCAATCATCAGGGAGACCTACTCTTCTCAGGATATGGTGATGGACATGTTACTGTTTGGGATGTGCAGAAGGGATCTGCGGTAAAAGTTGTTACTGGTATACATGATGCACCTGTAGTACATATGTTATATCTGGGACAGGATTCCCAAGGTACTCGCCAAGTTAGTCGACAGTTTAGGGTAGTTAGTGGTGATAGTAAGGGTTTGGTTTGGTTGATTACTTTCTCAGTGGTTCCATGGCTCAATAGATTTTCCTTTAATAATACGGTAAATCCCTTCTTTTGTCTTAATAATATGCTGCCTATTTGGAGGATTCTTTTAAATACTTGTTCTGAATTGATAGCGAACAGATTATACTACTCAGGTTAGATTACCTTGTTTATGACTACTGAAACAGTGCCTTCTTGATGGTCGAACAACGGGCAAAGTATTATGTGCTTCTCCACTGCTTTCTGATGAATATTGTGGAGGTGCTTTGATGTCCTCCCAGGGGAATGCTCCAGGTTCAAGCAATAGTATTGGTAGCATGATGGGAGGTGTGCTTGGGGGAGATGCTGGTTGGAAACTCTTAAATGAAAAGTCTTCTTCAGTTGAAGAAGGGGTGGTCATATTTGCCACTTACCAAAGTGCTCTGGTGGTACGAAGCTTTTAAAAAATTGCATAATTTAAAACACTTTCTGTCTATTGAATTGGTGACTTGCTGTTGGTTTTTCTGGTTTTCTATGTATTAATGTCATGGATATTTGCTATAGGCAAGGGTGAGTCCTAGTGTTGTGGTCTATGCTCAACTTTCAAAGCCTGATGGGGTTCGGGAAGGTTCCATGCCATACACTGCTTGGAAATGTATGGGGCAGCAAAATGGTTCTTCCACTGGTATGTATTAATGTGTTTCATGGAATGTCATATTGAATGTTCTGAGGTATGATATTGTTGCAGAAAATGTGCCAGTGGAAGCAGCAGAAAAGGTTTCACTGCTAGCAATTGCTTGGGATCGTAAAGTTCAGGTTGCAAAATTGGTCCAATCAGAATTGAAAATATATGGGAAATGGACACTTGAAAGCTCAGCAATAGGTGTAGCATGGTTGGATGACCAGGTATTTTTTGTTTTGAATTCTATTGTTTTGCTTGTTTGTTTGTCCTTTGTTATGTATTAAATAAATTGGCTTTTAATTCTTTGTTGGTGTTGTTTTCTCATGTCTTTTTGTGTATAATGAGAAAGGCTTGTTCGGGTTGTTGATCAGAATAAAAGGGATAACAATAATAATGATTTTATTCTTGTCCAGATGTTGGTGGTTCTCACATCAAATGGACAACTTTGTTTGTTTGCAAAAGATGGAACTGTGATTCACCAGACAAGTTTTGCCATTGATGGATCTATAGGAGACGATCTTGTTGCTTATCATACCCACTTTACAAATATCTTTGGAAACCCTGAGAAAGCTTATCACAAATGTATAGCTGTAAGAGGGGCTACTATATATATACTTGGGTCAATGCATCTAGTTGTTTGCCGCCTTCTCCCATGGAAAGAACGAATACAAGTTTTGCGGAAAGCAGGCGATTGGATGGGTGCATTGAACATGGCGATGACACTTTATGATGGTCAAGCCCATGGTGTTATTGACCTTCCTAGAACCCTGGATGCTGTACAGGATGCCATTATGCCCTACATGGTAGAGTTGCTCTTGTCATATGTAGATGAAGTATTTTCTTATATATCAGTGGCATTCTGCAACCAAATTGGAAAGCTGGAACCATTGGATGACTCAGAGAGGCGAGCTAGTTCTGTCCATTCAGAGATCAAAGAGCAATTCGCCCGTGTTGGTGGTGTTGCTGTTGAATTCTGTGTTCATATCAAGAGAACTGATGTCCTCTTTGATGAAATTCTTTCCAAATTTGTGGCGGTTCGACATAGAGGTACATCCATGGTGTTGATGCTTCATGTTGAAAACCCTGGCTGATTTCTAAATTTTGCTGATCTCTGGGTAAATATTTATAAATGTCTGATGATGAGTCACTTTTCAAATACTCATTATCAAAATTCTGATCAAATTATGAATAGGTTGACAAAATAAGTTGATTATGTCTTTCCAAGGTGATAAAAACAACTAATGATCTAAAAGTGGCCTCTTGAATGACAGCATAAAAAAAATTTCATGCCATGTTCAAAATTGAAGGGAATTTTTCTACCATACAATACAAATCTTTAGACATTCTTAACACCATATTTTGCAAGTACTCACCCCTAATCATCCTCATGAAGTATTCACATTTCCCCCTTGTAATGTTGTTTTTCATCTTCCTTTCCTCACTGGTTCTCCCAATTCTACTGAAGTATGACAGATGATAATTTTTCTGTAATGTTTTACCCACCTTAAAAGTACATATCAAAAAGGGAAAGAAAATCCCTATCACAAATTCTTTTGAGAATGAGCAGGATCCTGTAGGAAAAAAAATTGCAGAAGTTTTGTTCCAATTTATTTATTTTGTTTATTTATTTTTTTGCAGAAATAACACAATTTTATCGTAATTGGCTAAGTTAGTGTTTCTTATGTTGAAAGTTCTCTAAACAAACCTAAATATGCATAAGGGCAAACCCAAAAAAAATGCAAATTGGCATTAATTAGTAATCCTCATGACAATTCTTATCAATAAACTCCTTTTTTTTTTTTGGTCAAATACTATAGAAGTGAAAATGTTGGACCTTAAAGTGATTTTGGATAATAGCAAGAGCTTCTTTGTAGATATTTTTGGAGGGTTGAATAATTGATTGTGCAAATGCCTAATGGGCTTTCTTTATTTACCATAGATTTTCTTGTACCACACATTCCTTTTGCCAGTTTTATCAGTATCATATTTGATATATCATTAAGTAAATAAGAAAACACAAATTGAATTTAGCTTTCTTTTGCGCTCTGAGAGTGGTTAGATTCATATTAACACATTCAGCTGCAAATTATTTCAGTGCACTGTGAATACTTCCTTATATATCGCCAAAAATGGTGATAGTTCTTATAATAAACTGTGTGGTACCTTCAAATACACTTAATCCTAATATGCCAAAATTTATTTTTTGCTTCTACAGACACATTTTTGGAGCTTTTGGAGCCATATATATTGAGAGACATGCTTGGTTCCCTACCTCCTGAGGTACTGCTTACTTTGATGTGTTTATACTTTACGAAAGCTAACCAATAGACTCTAATTTTTATTTTATTTTGTGTTAATCTGTTTATTTTACATTTTTCTTTTGGGGCAAAGATTATGCAAGCGCTGGTGGAGCATTATAGCACAAAAGGTTGGCTGCAGCGGGTTGAACAATGTGTTCTCCATATGGACATTTCTTCCTTGGATTTCAATCAGGTCATTTTGCATTCAGATGTCACAGGTTCTGTCATTTGTTTTTTCAAATCGATCAATACCCATTGACAAATACATAGTAGAATTTATATGTTATTTCTTAATACCTATGAAGCATGGAGATGGAGGCATGCTGGAATAGATTTGACATGGTGCCAACAAGTCTGTGTGCCAATTTCGAAAATTATGATTTGTATATGGCAACACGTTTGTATCTTATATAATGATTCTCATGACATTGTTGGTTATATACGTTATATTAAGGCATAAAAATCATTCTTTAAGAATCTAATATTCCATTTTCATATGAGGAAATTGAAGGTCGTGTTCATAAACAGGTTGTGTTCATAAACATCGATGTAGAAAGAAATTCAACTTGATTTATTGTAATCATATCTTGCTTCTTTCAGAAATAGTCCTAGTATTTACTTGCATTTGTACTATTTGTACTTTAATGCCAAACTAGAAAGGCAAAATTGCAAGATTCAATGAGTGGTGGATATGACCTTGAATATCTTATCTGTATAAAATATGACGATATTATTTTTGAATTATGAATGTCTCTATATTATCAGGCATGTGCACTGGAAGTATCCATTAAGAGTCCGGATCCCATTTACACGTGCTTCATAGCTTCTATCATTCATCATACTTCTCTTCTTCATTCTTTTTCCCTTGATAAATATTGATATTTTCTGCATGATTGGTTGGTAATTTTGTATCTCGTCTTGTAGGTTGTCCGGTTGTGTCGGGAGCACAGATTGTATGGTGCACTGGTATATTTGTTTAATAGAGGTTTAGATGATTTCAGGGCTCCTTTAGAGGAGCTCCTGATTGTTTTACAAAATAGCCAAAGAGAGAGTGCTGCTGCCCTTGGGTATGTTGCTTGATAAAGTCAAGTTTTCTAATTAATAGATAATGGAACACGTTGGGGTACTATATTTGCTACTATGTTTGGTCATTTTCTGCAAATGTTATTATTTTTTTATTTATAAAAAACACATTTTTCTGTATATATGAATGTGTGTGTGTAGGAAAGAAAAATAGGGAATTTGAGCTCTTGTGTCAAGTTTGAAGACCAATGGTGTACCGTTTGGCCCACAAGGCTGGCAATTTCTTCTTTTTTCCCCATCATTGTTGATAATTCTTCTTGACTTGTAGATTTGTGTTTTCTTATTTGAACTTAAAGACTGCTTTTTATTCAGAAAATAGTAATTATTATTATTTTTTTAAAATTGGGGAGTTATAATGAAATTTATGTCTGTAATTTGTTGCAAAGTTGTGTTGAGTTAAATTTATAATATAAGTTTCTGGGAGAACAGATGCCAGCTATTCTAAGTTTAGCCACCCTGTTAAAAGTAGGCTTCAATGGGGGCCACTGTGAAATTTAATCTACCTGAACTCAACATGCTGACCATCATGCAGCTTTGATCAATAAAATTTCTTGCTGAATGATGATTTGGCCTGCCAGGGTGGTGTTTTGGGTAGGACTTCTGGAAATGAAATTGTACCCTGGCCTAGTGGCGTGGCATAAATGTTCACTTCACAGTACTGTGTGATGCAAGAGATTTTTGCCCCTCCATATGAGAAACTTCAGAGGAATTTTTTAAATAAAAAATTATATTGGATACAATATATTGTTGGTTTTGTGGTACCACTTCAGAGTGGTCACTTATTATCATGGCCTGTTGAAACAGGTACCGGATGCTTGTTTACCTGAAGTACTGCTTTTCTGGTCTTGCTTTTCCACCAGGTATGGTTTTAGGATAACATTACTAAACTCCGACGATTTGAACAATTTCATGAGAATTTTGCACAATTTAGCTCGTCTTGATGGTGCTAATCTTCTATTTTCTTTACCCAATAGGGGAAAAAGAAAAGGAAAAAAAAAATGCATCTTGAAATTTATTATTCATGTGATGTTTGATTGTTTTGTGAGTATTGAAATTAATTAGCTTCTTATGTGAGGAATTGCATTATCTGAATGAATAATTAAGGTCTACAAGACGTGGGAGCGATCTACTTGATTCTGCTGCTTGTTTTATTAAGACAATTGAAATGGAGTCCAATAGTAGATACTTTCTCTTTCAAAGATGGCTAATGCTTTTGAACTTTCATTCTGATAATCTGTGGTATGTACAAATGTAACACTAATGTCTTATGGTTTTATTTGTTCCTTTTTGCTACGTAATTTTATGTACTTAAGAGGCTTTTATTGGGTGCTTTTGCCAGTGTTGTGTAGAGAGCATTGTTTTACAGCATTAATTGTTCATTTTGGAATGAGGGAAATGATAGAGGAGAATGGTGTAATTTTGATATTGCACTAAAAGATGTGGTAACTTTCCCTTTTCACTTGTAGAGGTAATTGCTCTAAAGGTTAAGTGTTGAAGGCAGGCGTGAACTATCATCTAAAATTCTGGTAACTTCTAAGAATTCGAATTGATGTTTGTCTGTTGTCAACGAAGACTAACATTATAAGTACACTTGGAAGTTCCTAGGTGTACTCCATGTCAAATTTGTTGGAGAGAAGAAGAGAATGATCAGAAGTGAGGAAGAAGGTAGCATCTCTTGAAAGGACAATAAAAACCAAGAATAAAATCCCAAAAGAGAAATCCCTGAGGTAGTCGAACTTCTTTTAGTTGCAAAGCTTTCTTGGCCCATGAAATCCAATGGAAAATATCAACCAACTTTGTAGAAAAGTGACTCAAGTCCTTCACTATGTTACACGGACTCAGGTATGGGTATCGGGTGTGGGTGCGTATCTAGAGGTCAAACACTTCAAAATTAAAAATTGAGGATACGTAGATATGGATCTAAATTTGGATACGGGTACGAGAATATGTTAACTAGTTTTTTTAAAAAAAAATATATTTATTATATGAAGATGAGTTAAAAAAAAAACTAAGGAATAACATATTTTGTTATAAAAAAAAGAAGAAGATATAAATAACAAATAAAAATTATAAAAATCATTTTAGATATAAAATAAATTATATTATATATGATAAAATAAGTTATTTTTATTTTAGACATAAAAATTATATTATTTATGATATATTATATTATACAAATTTTTTTGGGTGAATAATATTATATAATATGAATATGAATAATATTATATATTATTATATTAATGCAATTTATATTATATAATATAAATGTAATTAAAAAGATGAGAAAAGAGAAAGATTGAGAGAAGAGTAGACAAAAAAAGAAGAGAGAAGTTGACAAAAGAAGAGAGAGAGAGAGAGTAGAGGGAGATCGAGATCGAGAGACAAGAGGAGAGGAAGAGAGAGATCGAGAGAAGAGAGAGAAGACAGAGAAGGAGATCGAGCGAAAGTTGAAGTTGTCGAAGCCGGCGACCAAAGGGATCAAAGTTAGCGACCGATGTCTTCGCCCTTTCGAACAGCAACCGGGTTCTCTCTTGCTCTCTCCTCTTCCATTTCTTTTGCCATATCTGTTTGTAAATAGCCGTATCCCGCACCCGTGCTTGTCTCGTGTCGTGTCGTGTCGACACAGGTACCTCCGAAAATCCAAAGAGTCCGCGTAACTTAGGTCCTCCATAACAGCCCATAACTTTTTGAATAAATTAGTCTTATGGAGTAGATGCCATGGCCTTAACAATCACATGGAAGATCTCTAGACCTAAAGCGCAAGCCAAGTACTTCATCCTTCACATTGCTGGTGATGATTGAACTCTTTTGAGAATTATTAACAAATTTTAGGAAGAGAGAACTTTCTTCTCAAGCACACTAGAACCATCCGATGACCTAAGATTGAAGAAAAAGTTAAACATTTTATCAATCTATTACATTTATTCAGATATACTACGTGGCATGGCCACATAACTCCAAGATGGCATCCATAGAACATGGTACCGAGTGTCAATCTCGTGAAATGGCACATAGATGGTGCCCTTCCTTGCCTGGAACCAAGGCACTTATATAAGACCCAAACAGCTCAGGCATCCCTTGGATCGAGTGACGAGTCTCTGCTCAAGTGGTTGTCTCCTCCTCTTGTGGACAACATGCTTGATGCTCCCAGCTCAACAGAGTAACCCCTTGATTGAGCATGTTCCTCCGCATTCCTATCTTCTCAAGGTCTTGGCATGTTCATTCTCCAGTTGATTATGCCCTCTCCAATACACCTGCTTGGATCTCCAACCTTGGCTTGACCAGTTATCTCCTACCAAGTGGTGTTCTCCTGAGCAAGCCTCCTATCCACAAGACAAAATAATTTGTTACGGACAATCACACCAATCTAGTGAAGATAATGGCTTAGGAACCCCTATGTAGGATCATCATAGGATATGTGGCTTGCCTGTCTCGCCCCTTGGAGTGGCTCAATATTGATTGGCCTTGGAGAGAGACTTTGATCAAAACATTTGACATCTTGAAGAAAGTATCATTCTTACAATTGAAGCATTGTGATACGACCCCCAAGTCATGATCACTAAGGGTGTAATCGGTTTGGTTCGGTCGGGGTTTTGGATAAAATTTCTACCAAACCAAACACCTCAGTTTTGTGCTCGTGTGTACTGAAACAAACTGCATAGAGTAGGCGCTCAAACCAAACCAAACCAAACCAATGAGTGTTGTGTTGGTTCAGTACGATTTGGTTTACTCAGAGCTAAGATATTAAAAGCAATAACTTCCCCAACCCAGCAAACAATCAAATTGACACAATGTACATATATATATGTCTACACAAATTGAAAATAAGAGGGGAAATTGATGGAAGCAAGAACTCAATATGAGACCTAGGAGAGGACTTTGGATTGGAGGAAATGGGCAAGGCTTATCTTCTCTCGGACACGTCATTGTTAACTATGAACCCATGATTTGGAGCCGGTGAACCTAAAGAAATCTAGACGTGATTGCTAATGAACCTCAAGAGGAAGAAATCAATCAAATTCGCTAGCTAATGATTGTTGTTATAATATTTTGTCATTGATGTTCAAATCACCTAGATGCTGCTGCAATTTACATGTAGTTGGCCCTAAGGAAAAAAACTGCCAAGGAGCGGAGGCTTTGGCTTTGTGTTTTTCTTCTGCAATTCTGGAGGAGACAGCAGGGAAAGAAGATAAGAGGTAAAGAAACTTACAAATCAAAGAGGGGTACAAAGATAACATAGCAAAAAGAAGGGAGAACATGAGAAGAGATAAATAAAAGAAAATGAGAGAGAGAGAGAGAGAGAGTTCTTTGCTTTGTTCATAAGTCTAAAATTATTGTTTATATGTATATAATTCTAATCTCTGAGATGAATAGAGAGGTGTACTTTGGGAAGTGGGAACAACATTATTATATAATAATAATAATCTTAAAGATAAATGGATAGAGAGAGAATGATTGATTGATTGTTACATTTATTATACATAACAATATGAAATGAATAGTAAATATTGGTCAAATTTGGTTTAAAATTTTGAAAAATGTAAATCAAACTAAAAATCGGTTTTTTTCATATGGAAAACCGAACTGATTAAACCCAATAAAATAACCAACTGTAATTGACTGGTTCAGTCAATTTCCTTTGCTTCAATTGGTTTGGCTGTTTTTCTTGGAGATGGAGTTGGAAAACATCTGGGTTATTATACCAAGGGGTTAAGCCACCTATCTCCCAATGTGGGATATTGCGCTCGATTGTGCTGACCTCATGTTTCGACTCCCCTATATGAGGAGACCTCTATGCATGCAAAACAATATAAGCTATCAACTTTCTTCTTGCAAGCTTAAAATCTCTCTCTCTCTCTCTCTCTCCCCTGCGATCCTCTCTCCTTCTAGGGTTGCCTTAGCTCTCACCTCTTCCACCTCTAGTGGTTCCTTGCCATGTTCCCAGAAGAACCCACTCTGGCCAATTCAGAGCCAACCTTCCACAATCAATAGCTTCCTTAGTGATTTCATCAACTACGAGTGTCAACTACATTGAAACAAATCTAGTGAACTTCAACTCCTTTCTTGGTTTTGATGGCAACTCTTAAATTTGTCTTCTTTAAAAAGATGTTTCTTTGTTTCAGGTTGAGTCATCTTTCCCCTTTGACAACTGCTCTCTGGGGACCTTGAACAGTGAAAAATGTAGGGATAATGACTAGTGAGGACTTAATAAGAATATTTTTTTCCTAGAAAGGTGTGGCCCTTTATTTGACAACACTAGGTGTTTAGATTTCTTTTACTCCACAAGATTCTAGAACTTAAGAACCAATATATTCCTTTGTTTTGGGTACACCAAGGTTCTTGAGTGGCCAGCCGTGGCATAATTATATTTGGGTAAATTACACTCACCACCCTTGAGTTTTGAAAAAAGTGAGACATTGGGACGGATTTAGAAGGTGGTTCAAACTGGGTTTGAATGACTTAAATTTATTCTAAAGATATGAGAAGTTAAAATTGTTTGAAGGAGATGTTTCCTTTCAATTACTTGAACTTAACAATTTTATAGCAGCATCCCCATTTTTTTGTTTTTTAAATCCAGATTATATGGCTTCTTTATTGATTATTTGTTCAGTGTATTCTTTTGTCTTTAATAAATAGAACAATTAGTGAATCTTGACTACAATTTAGAATTTTCTTGTTTTAAAAATTTGTTATATATTTGCAAATTTAAGTTCATTATTTTTTTATTATCTTAAAAAAGCTCTTTAAATATAAAAGATATTAATAAAGTGTGTATAGACTACATAACAAACACCCAACGAATGAGCAGGAAAGATTTTATTTATTTATAAAAAAATGAATAGATTAATGTAGCAGAGGGTGGCACGGGGGCGGGGGTGGGGAATGGCAAACCCGCCCCGTGGCCATCCCTAGTTTTGATAGCTTTAACCTTACTAGAATGGTGACTAGTGTCATTATACCAAACCTGTGGGGTAATTATATTTTTATCAAACCTCAGGGGAGATGAGTGTAATTTACCCATTATATTAATATATACTGGATTTCTCATGGACCATAACCTCTTCTAAGCTAGCCCCTCAACCACAAAGCTTTTATCAAGATGAATGAGACAGATATAAAGGTTCTTAGAGGGAAAGGCTTCAAGGGAAATAATAAATTCACTGGCAAATTATTTATCAAAAAATAAAAAATAAAAAATAAATTCACTGGCAAACTGTAGGAGAAAAACTTGGAATTCCCCTTTTCACAAATAACCCACAAACCTTGCTCTCAAGCTAGCGAAGAGACAAGGGAGGGCTTCCTTTGACAATACCCCTAGGAACACAGGAAGGCGCTGTTTGGGAAGTTTGGTTTTCGGTTTTTTTTTTTGTTTTTTTCCACTAAAAGACAAATTGGTTACAAAACCAAAAAAAATCAATCCAAACAAAATATCACATCAAATCCCATAATCATTTCACTTTTTATCTCACAAACATTACATCCAACCACAAAAAAACCCAACTATCTTCCCAAACACAAAAAAAAATTTCTCCAATAATATCCTACAACTAAAAAAACCTACAAAAAAACACACTTCCCAAACACCCACAAAATCTCTTCAGCTGCCCCATTAACAAGGATTTCATGTTGAAAGGGATGCATACTTTGATACCAATTTCCATTTGGATATTCATCAAGAATAATAGGAAAACTCCAGTGAATTTTGTTGCTGATCAAAAACAAAAAACAAAAAAAAGAAAACTCCAATTAACATGTTCACGCTTCTTCCAAAAACTAGTCTTACGGTCATCTTGTTTTTAAAAATTTATTTTTTTAATAAATGTGACCCATCTAATAAAAGCTTGCAAATTTGTCAAGTGCGTTGTTGGTCTTGGTGACCCATCTGAAGATTGTTCCTGGATGATTGTCCTTGGTGATCCTCAACTGCAATGTAGTATTAAGCTCAAAGTTGTCAAGTGCATTATTGTTTCCCAAAGCTCATCTGCTTCCTCTGAAATACATGTTTGAGAAGCAATATTGTTTTGTTAGTATTTTGGTAAACGCAAAGCAGCAAAAACCCATGGAACTATTAGACATTTTGAAGCATTAAAATTTTATTTTTGCATGCCAGCTTTCAAAATGTATATGGTTGTGTATTATGGTGCTTGAAGCTATTTAATTTTTCTGCTTGATCGTCATTATTATTATTTTTATTTTCAGTATAACATTATGGAATTGATTGAGCAACAATTGAGAGTTACAGCATTTGTTTTGCAGGACATGGAACTCTTCCCCCTATACGCTTGCCATCTCTTAGGACAGAGCTTGTGCAGTTTCTATTAGAGGCTTCAAATGCTCCTAAATCATGCATAGTCACAAGCTCCTTATCCACAGGAGCATACCTTAACCTGTACCATTTCTTAGAGTTGGATACTGAGGCTACCTTAGATGTTTTGAGATGTGCATTTGTTGAAGATGAAATCCCAATATCTGACTATTCGTTGGATGATTCAGCCAATGGAAATGTGGAGGCTGAAAAAGAAAATGATTCAATGCCTGCAGGTCAAAATGGCTTGGTCCAAAAAATGGTAGATGCTCTTATTCATGTTCTTGACAAGGGCACCTTCCAAACAGACAAGTCTACCGGCAGTGGTGATATTGAATTGGTAGAAGTTTGGCCTTCAAAGAAAGACATAGGTCATACATTTGAGTTTATTGCGTACTACATTTCCCGTAAAAAAGCTATTGCTTCTAATAGTACACTGACTCGGATTCTTGAGTATTATACATTTGACATTAATCATCCACCAAGTGTCTCAAAGCAGAATATTCAGGCTTTAAGGAAACGAGAGAAGCAGATGCTTGCCCTTTTGGAAGTAGTGCCTGAAACTGACTGGGATGCATCTTATGTATTACACCTATGCGAAAGATCTCAATTTTACCAGGTATGTATACGATATCAGAGCTCTATACTCTCTCTCTCTCTCTCCCTGGGTGTGCAGTGCACCTGCACATGTCTGTGCTTGCATGTTTACGCTTATGTAAATGTTTTTGAATTATTATGTTTTCATTTCTAGGTTTGTGGATTAATTCATGCCATCAGACATCAGTATATTTCTGCTTTGGATAGCTACATGAAAGATTTCGACGAACCTATTCATGCCTTTTCCTTTATCAATGATACATTGGAACAGCTGAGTGACACTGAAGCTGATTCTTTCCGTTCAGCAGTCATTTTTCGAATTCCAGATCTGATTAACTTAAGCAGGTGATATGCTTTGATAAGTATGGAGCTATCATGGATCCTGGTTTCACATGTTCAGTTATATGTAGGATTTTCTGCTGTGAAGCTAATGCTTTTCTGATGAATGTTATGCTTTTCTTACCTTTTACAGAGAGGGTGCATTCTTTCTGATTACTACCCATTTCAGTGGGAAAGTCAACATATTTTATCTGAACTGCACTCTCACCCCAAAAGCCTTTTCCTTTACCTAAAGACAGTTTTTGAGGTTCACTTATCCGGAACCCTCAACTTTTCTTGTTTAAGAAAAGACGAGACTCTGGAATTTCCAATTGGAAGAAGAGCAAGGGATCAGTTAGTGGAGGCATACTTAGAAAGGATCTCTGAATTCCCAAAGTTCCTGCGTAACAATCCAGTTCAAGTGGCTGATGATATGATTGAGCTTTATCTGGAGGTGAACATTTCAGCATTTCTATATGTAATAATAATTTAAATAGTGGATAATGTGTGTCTTCCTTGTGTGTTTAATGTGATTGTGTTGAGTCATGTGATATTGTCTGTGTTTCTTAATTATTTTATTTTATTTATAATTTATGTTATTAATTGTTGAGATCTCAATTCTAAGAAGTATTATCCTTGGAATTTCGTTGGCTACTCAAATAATCTTGCTTCTTTGTCAGCTCATTCGAGGACCATACTTTTAGTTTGTGCAATTTCAAATTACTTCTTCTCAGCCCTGCCATCTTTTTTGCCTGTTATACTGCAGATGGCTCGGTTGTGGACCTAGTTGAGTATGGACATTATGGACACTTTATATGCTCTGTCAGACTGGAAACTCTGTTTCTCACTCCCCTTCTTTTTGTTAGAACTATCAACATAATCATAGAGCTCATTTTAGCATAAATGGATTGCTCATGATTGATTCTAAACACTCAGCTTTCTCTACTTCATCTTCAATATCTTGAATTGCTTATTATTAAATGAAGAGTACAAAAGGATACAACAAAGGATAAGAAGTCCACTTAAAAAGAAAGGAGAAAAATGAAAAACTGTCATATCATCGATAAGTGCTTCCGGTTTAGGTGGACGTCCTAGCAAATAAACACCCACAAGAATTAGCTTATCGACTCCCCGAACAATACTATAAGAATTGGTACTGAACATCCCCTGTAATTGTACATGCTCCCATAGCAATAACATATTTTGGTTTAGGCATTTGCTCTTATAGTCTCACTAAAGGAGTCATTTTCATTATTATTGTTTTGGTTAAAATTGGTGATCCTATTAACTTGTCCCGACCTAGGATAATAAACTCATGAGCTTGGTCTTGCTTTACTGTCAAGAAATGAAAGAAGACTTCCATCTCTAAGTTTAACTCAGATGTAGCTCCCGTCTTTTTGGGTGTGAAGCAGTGTCTAACCAAAATACCCAACAAGTGCATTGGATTGATGATAAAATAGAATTCTGGGTTCCAAATTGTGATTCGATTGATGATGAAGAAAGAGAATTTGTGGTTCAGTTCTCCATATTAACAACTGAGAATATGGGTTGATCAAATTCTATCGAGTCAAACTCACTGATTATTTATTGAAGAATGGCTTTGGTTTCCAAATGATTGAACAACTAGGAGCAATTTATTTATGATAGTTAGTTGATAGTCATAAAAAGACCCCATTTGATGGGACTTAAGGTTTAGTTTGGTATGGTTAGGTTAGGTTAGTTGGTAGTCATAAAAAGAACCTAATGAATTATGAGTTCAATACACTCCGTTTAGGGGGAAGACATTAGAACAAAAAGATCCATTAGATAATGAACTATTAGTTCTAAGCCATCTGTGGAGATTAATCAACAATTTGAAGTACTTTTCTTGTGTATTCTTGATAAACTAGCCTTCATATATAATTGTAGGAAGATTTGTTTGGGAAGTAAGATGCCTCTTGGACGTCTCTTCATCTGCAAATAATTCTCGATGTGAAAACACTTAGATGAAGGGCTGATCTTGGAAAAGGAAAAAGAGTGGATTTGTAGGTTGCCCAATGAATTGAAAATTATGTGTAGAAATTTAATGTATAAAGAGAAATAGATTGTATTATTGATTGATTGATTGTTACAAGATTGATTAATTACAATTCCTATACAATCTATATATAGAAGAAAATGTGGTAGTAGGTGTAGTGGAGGTGATAGTGGGTTAGGTGAAGTGGAGGTAGGTGAAGTGGAGTGTGTAGTGGAGTAGGTGAAGGTAAAGATGGGAAATGCTAACATTATGTATCACACACCACATTCTAGTCTCCAAAAATAAACAAAACAAAGGAATTCCCTTGAATGGGAATAATATTGTAGCCCAAAAAGAAGACAATAACAATTCTATCCTATAAATCTTATAATCCTTCAAATTTATCTTCAAAAATCTTTGCATTTCTTTCCCACCAAATCACCCAAAAATAACACAAATTACACAATCCCAAAGCACTCAAGCCTTCTTGTTAAGACCATCCTCTGTAGTCAATCAACAACATTTGAATACAAGTAGATGGTGCCACCCAATAAATCTCCACCAACGGAAATTATTTGTACCATAAAGCTGTAGCATTGAACAATGCCGAAGGCAAGAAAAAAAAAAAAAGAAGGAAAAGAATGAAAATAAAAAGATCTATGCTTTTGACTGTCCCTATAAAGTGCTCCAATTTTCTCTTATAACTTATTGCTACAGGTTGATTTCAAAGCTCTCTTGAAGCACTTATTGAGTTGTGTAGCACTTAAAATTTTAAATTATGCATTTTACTTTTGCAGCTATTATGTCAGTATGAACGCAATTCAGTTCTCAAGTTCTTGGAGACCTTTGAAAGCTATAGGGTGGAACACTGTTTACGGCTGTGCCAGGAATATGGGATCATAGATGCCGCTGCATTCTTATTGGAAAGGGTTGGTGATGTTGGGAACTCCCTTCTTCTTACCCTTTCTAGTCTCAATGACAAATTCATCATGCTTGATACTGCTCTGGAAAGTCTAGTTTCTGATGCTGGTATAGAGCATTTCAGTGCTATATTAAAGAAGGAAGAGGTTCGCAGAAATGTCTCATTTTTTGTTTTCAAATGGAAAGTCAAAAAATTGAATTTAAATTTTATTTTTGATTTTCCTCTTGCAGGTGAATGACATTCTTGAAATATTACATGCCTGTATTGGATTGTGCCAGCGAAACACCCCTAGATTGGATCCCGAGGAGTCAGAATCCCTCTGGTTTTTGTTGCTTGATTCGTAAGCCCAACACACATCTCCAGTAGGCTCGTTTTCTTTAGTTTCAGGTTTGCTAGAATTGAAATAAAATAGCAGATCAAGAGCAAGTTCTATCTTCATGACAACATGTTGTCTTGGTCTCTTGGACATGAAATTTGAATCATAAGTTCAATGGCTGATGGAAGTCTTTGCACCAATACTTCTGTTTAACCTGCTAATAGTAATTTCAAAATGTAGATTAGTTTAATTTTAGATACATCGTACTGCATATTGCTTGTCCTCCTAAAACTGTAGCCATGTCCAACGAAATAGTAAGGTGGGTGTGTTGGTGTGGGAGGTTTTAGATTGGGAGAATTTGTTGAGGGAAGGTGTTGCTACAGGAATTCTAGATATGTGGGATAGCATGATTATCTTTTATTGATGAGATGGAACTTATCAATCTTCCTTTGATAGGAGGGATTTTAAATGGAGTCCAATAACACTAGGGCAATCCCTCCATGTCTTAGATTGATCAAATTTTGGTTTCTATTGATTGGGAGGAGCATTTCTCTAAGGTGGTGCAAATACCTCTTCTTGCTTGAGAGGGGAGGTATTAGAAGAATGCAAACTCTTTTCAGATTAAAGGGGATAGGAACACACCTTCCTTGCAAGAATCTCTTACTAGAGGTGACTTTTCCACGATTTTGTGATTCAAAGTAAGAATTTTGTTATTGTTAGTGAACTGTTGTTGTTAGTGAACTGTTATTTTTATAATGAGAATTTACTATGCTTATGTTTAACAATTTAAGTGGTAATGTAATATAGACATTTAGCATGTATATTACAACTAAGCAACAAAAATATTTCTTATGATTTATTTACATATGAAATACATTAATGTCAACCTTAGACTCTTCTATATGTCATGCTCCTGATTTTTCCCCTGCCTTTGCACCTACATCATGCAACTAAGGAACGCATGTTTCTTCCATAAGGTGGCTATTGTTCATGGATGAAGCAACCTTATTGACAAAGTCAAAATTGGTAATTGTATCTTGCATGTGAAGGAAAGAGAGTGAGAAAGGATTGCTAATTCCTATGAGGAGCTTAACTCTAAAAGGAGGGAATGCGGGTCGCGAGTGAATGGTATTAATTATAGATTCATTTCCATGGAAGAGATGATATGTTTGGAAAGACCTTTCACAGATGAAGAGGTGTTCTTTGCGTTAAAGACCCTTAATGGGACAAAGCCTTTGGGCTTAATAGGATGACCACTTCTTTCAACACTATTAGAGTTCACAAGATGCGATGGAGATGATAGCTTCATTTTTTAGATGGGGGACTTCAAGAGGAGCTTGATTTCTTCGTTTGTTGCTTTAATTTCTAAGATTGGGATGCTAAGAACAGTAGGGATTTTAGACCCATCAGTCTTCTTGAGGGACTTATAAGTTGGATGAAGTGTTGGCTTACCATTTGAAGGTAGCGGTAAGGTCTCTAGCATCAACTGTTTAGTCTCTGTACTTGCTTGAGCGGTGGTATCATTCCCAACTTTGTATTTGAGCTTACCTCTAGGCTCATCATTCAAATGCACTTAAGTTTGGGATGAGGTTATTGAATGGTTTCAATGGCTTTGGAGTTTTGCTTAGTAGGGATAAATAATGGAGGTACGCAGTGTCGATTAAGTATGGCATGTCATGGTGAGATTTGAAATCTTTGGAGGTGGAATTGTCTCATGGGAAAAGGTTGTGAAAAGGAATCCAGAGGGTTTGGGATGATTTTGTGGATCATATTAAAGTAAAGGTTGGCAATGGTGAAAGGGTGAATTGTTGGAGCCATTAGTGATGTGGGGAGTTTTCCTTTGAGAGGTTATTTTCGGCTATCTTCAGTTTGGATAGAAATAAGGATGCGCCTGTGGTGGATTATGCTCATAGGGAGGCAATCGTACCTTTAGAAATATTCTATTGAGCAGGCATATGCAAGATTGGAATATGAATAAGTTATTGCCTTCAGTTGTTGTATGAGCTCCCAAGCTTTGTTGAGCACCAAGACACTTTTTATTGGGTTTCCTTGTCTAGAGAGAAGTTTGAGGTGAATCCATGGAGTTTTGTTCGCATATTGCGGAGGTTCTTTCCATTGGAAACGGATATAGTCGGTTGGTCCCCCCTCAAAGTTTGCCATTTTTTTTAGTTGGAAATGTAGTTTTCAAGAAGATTCTTATCATTTATAGCCTCATTAGGAGACATGCATGAACAGTTAATTGGTGTTACATGTGCAAAAGTGATGATAAGAATGACCCTCATTGGCAGAGGAGTTGTGGAATTTGATTTAGTTGATGTTTGGGATGTCTTGGGCTTTCCATAGAGTAGCAGTGGTGGACCTCTTGCATTCTAGGTGATGTGGCAAGGTGGTAAAGTGCAGGAGAAGGGCATGACTTTTGATTCCTTTATGTCTTATGTGGATCATTTGGGGTGAACGTTTTTTTATTTTTTTTTAATTTTTATTTTATTGGTTGAAGCAAACTATCCTCTATATAGGCTTAAGAGTTGTTTTTTTGAAACTTGAGATATGTGAGGTGTATATATATCTTTTGGGTCTGTTTGAGATCTATGTAATATATTTTATTGTCCTTCTAAAGTCCCTTCTAAGGACAAACACTTTTAAGGTGCCATGTTCGGTTGGAGATGAACATGTGTCGAATACTGACATTTATCGAACACTACCGAACACATGTTGTACACGCTTAGAAACATGTCCTATTATTATAAATGACAATATGATTTTGTAAATTATTACTAGTAAATAATTTTTAGATGAGAGGTATGTGGTTTAAGTCACTAATAGTCCCAATAGCTTAAGCTATTAGGAAACAGGCCCCCCAACAATATATATCAAACATCAATACTCTCCCTCACATGGAACCCCGTTTTGCACGTGGAGAAGCAATCATCAATATACATAGACAGAAGAGACAATACAAATGAAAGAGAAAGAATGCAAACGATGACCAAAGGCAAGTAGAGAGGCTTGAATCCAAGATCTCTCTCAATCAGAGCTCTGATACTATGTTAAGTAACCAATTGTCTTCAAAACTTCAGCTATTTGGAAACGGACCAACAATGTATGTCAAACTATTCAACAATTCATGCATGGAAAAGAAAGAAAGGAAAAAGATTTGATAGGTACAACCTCATGTGAATCAAAGTCCCACATCACCTAGGTACTAATTTAATGTGCGCGTAAGGGCACCCTCGTCACAACGGTTAGCTTTTGAAATAAGTTCTACCTAAGACTGTGTAACATGGTTTCAGAGTTAGAGTACTTGGGGATGGGTAGGTTGTATGTCCCTAGCCTGCACGTGGCAGGTGCTCGGCACCGAGTGAACTTGTTGCGCATGTAAGAGGGTGTGAAGCAAAGTCTCACATCGCCTAGGAACTAACTTAACGTGGAGTATGTAAGTGTTTTGGCTTTTGCTGTTAAGTTTTGCCCAAGACCGTGTAACATCTCCGACTTACATTGTTCTATTACTTTGTGATGTTCCCCCCTCTAATTGTTGCCATGGAAATTTTTGTAGTTAGCCTGTTATTTTTCTTCCCCAGTTCTAATAGTTGTTTAGTTTCATCTCAGGTTTTGTGAGCCTTTGATGGATTCATTTAATGAGAAAATGGTTCCTCAAGGTGAAACTTACATTGGAACACAAGCTGAACCATTGGGTGGGCAAGAGAATGAAGAGGCATGCATAATTAAGTGGAAAATCTCAAAATTCCACAAAGGTGCTCATATTTTGAGGAAATTGTTTTCTCAATTCATCAAAGAGATTGTTGAGGGAATGATTGGATACATTCGCCTTCCCATTATCATGTCAAAGCTCCTCTCTGATAATGGTAGCCAAGAATTTGGTGATTTTAAAGTTACCATATTGGGAATGCTTGGGACATACGGTTTTGAGAGAAGAATTCTGGTATGTGTACTACTACTACTACTTCTACTTTTCCCTTTTTGTGTCACTTGTATTTTTATTTCAACTTTAGCTTATCCAGCCTCTGTTCTTAGACAAGGAGATAGAATAATCTAATCCACTTCAGAGAAAATAACCTTAATTTGTATTTAGTATATATGTGAATACATGTACATTGTATTTTTTTGTTTTTGGCCGTTCTGCTATATGTCAATAACTAGGTGTAATCTCTAACTTCATGTACATGTAGTACTCCTGGTGGGTGCATAGCTGTTATTCTATTTATAAATCTGTGTTTATGACTTTATTTACTTCATACAAAAGGATAGATTGAAATGAAAACCAATCTATATCTTCCAGACATCATCAGTCTGATTCTGTAGTTTCCATATTGACCTGTTCCTCTTGTTGATTTAGGACACTGCCAAATCCTTGATTGAGGATGATACATTCTATACCATGAGCTTACTCAAGAAGGGGGCTTCCCATGGTTATGCTCCCCGGAGTCTTCTATGCTGTATCTGCAATTGCCTTCTCACCAAGAATTCTTCTGGCTCTAGCATTCGAGTTTTCAATTGTGGTCATGCAACACATCTCCAGTGTGAACTTCAAGAAAATGAGACATCGCACACGGGCTCCTCGGCTGGATGCCCTGTTTGTTTGCCCAAGAAGAAGGGTCAGAGATCTAGAAGTAAGACAGCGCTTTCGGAAAATGGATTAGTGAGCAAGCCTCGATCAAGACCACAACAAGCTCATGGAACTATTTCTCTATACCCACATGAAAGTGAGGCATTTGAGAATCCACATGGGTATCAACAAATTTCAAGGGTAATTTAATACTTAATTGTCTTATCTTCATTCTTTCTACTTTAGTTGTTTTGTTTTGTTTTGTTTTGTTTTTGAGTGTGTGTATTGATGACTCATTAAGATGAACTTGGGTGCGACAGTTTGATATCTTGACGAATCTTCAGAAAGACCAGAGATTGATCCAAATAGAAAACATGCCTCAGTTAAGGCTCTCACCGCCAGCTGTTTATCATGAAAAGGTTAAGAAAGGGATGGATCTGCATACGGATGAAAGTAGCAGTGGTCTTGCAAGGTTAGAAAAACCATATAAAAGCAGGCAACTTAGAGACCTAAAAGTGAAGGGGTCATCTATTAGATTACCTTTGAAATCAAACATTTTTGGTGAGTTATATTACCATTCTGCGATTTAAATTGCTAAATTATGTGTTTTGCTTCTCTAACATATGGAGGCTTTTCTAGGCAAGGAGAGGTCAAGTAAGCGGTGAAACAATTATCGTATATTATACATCAACATCATTGAGGATGAGATTTTTATCGAGGCAATCTACCGGCAGATGAATGGTTTGGATCAAAATAAATCGTCCGAAGAGTGGGAAGTAGCCATTTTAACCTTTATATTTTGTTGTCATCATCATGTTTGTTTTCGTGGTGTCCAGGCTTGTAAATTGTTGTACGTAACATAGGAAAAAAAAAAAAAGTTTTCACAACGAATACTGTATAGAAAAACAATCAATCAATCAATGGAGGGAATATTTTAGATTTTGCTCGAGAGATGAGATGCTTTTACTTAGATGGACTCAAATTGATTAGTACTGTGTTAATTCCAAAAGCTGGATGGATCATGGATGTGCAGGCACCAGATAAATTACAAAAAAAAATGTAGCAATAATGACCTTTATAAATGTGTACAGGAGAGGATTTTCTACAAAATTCTGACAGAGGTGCCAAAGTCCCCCTTAGCCTCATCCAAAGTTAATCTCTCTCTATCTCTCCATGTATTCGAAACTGTAATCCATATCTATCGGAAGAAACACAACACCACCAAACCAATATGTGTTCAGCTTTCTCTGCAACTAAAATCATCCAACCCCGACCTCGCAAATCCACCACCTCCAGATCTCCCGATATAGGTGGATTTATTATTTAATAGGTCTTGTGAGAATTAATAGCGGTTTTCATCAAATATTATTAAAAAAAATGTCAGTAATTGTTAATTTTAAACGACAGTTTGAAAATTGTTATAAAAAATGTCATTAATTATAAGTTTTAGCGTTAGTTTAAAAAATTATTACAAAAAAGCTATTAATTTTAAACTTTTAATGACAGTTTGAAAAATTCGTTACAGAAAAAATGTCACTAATTGTAATAATTTATAAAAATTGTGAAAAAAAAATCATTAATTGTCAATTTTTAGTGACATGCAAATTATTGTCACAAAATTATTTTTAGCGATAATTTTATTGTAACTTATTTCTAATAGGATTTGATAGAAATTAAATTTAACAATTATGATATATTGGTAGTTTATCCAAAATCTAATAAATACCCACTCTAGTCCCCCATCACCATTTTTATAAGCATTCAATAGCTTTTCATTTAGCAGTTAACCATCATTGTATATGCACCAGTTCTAAAAATCTGTCTCAAATCAACATAAAGCTCTCTTTGGTTGCCAACTGAGCTATATTGCTCAGTGGTGTTGCATTATAATTGTAAATGTGCGATAAGATATCAATATGGTTTTGTTGGTTGACTTAACGTTCACCGTCGTCTGCATACGTTGCTTTTGAATTATTGCAAATGATATTAATTGGTGTATAGTATAGGATGGCAGAAATGATAAGAGTTCCCTTTTTTCTTGACTCCCACACCCTCAACAGACACATATCAGTGAGTGATAGGAGGAAAAAAAAAACAAAAAATAAAAAAAAAACAAAAAATTGATCAATCCCAATACGTTGAAGGTGATGGGGTCGGGTCTCAACCTTTTTCCTATTGGATAATATGTAATTTATTATATTTTATTTTTAGGTTAGACTTAAAAACAGGTAGAGGAATATAGTCTTAGGAACCATCATAAGAATGGTCAGCAGCCAATGATCGGGAATCGAAACACCCGCATGACTGCACAGATGCTAAGCTAACATTTGGCTTTGCCTCTTCCGCAAAGAAAACTACAAAAAAATATATGATTTAGTGGCATTAACTTAGTGACAGAAATGGGGTGGCTATTGTATGGAACAAAACAATCATTGTTGTATGGTCACATGGCCCATTTAGAGGCTCATTTCAATAATTTAAATCATTCACTTTTTAGAGTAAACTGAGTGGAATATACCTGCAAAAATTCAAATTGGTTGAACATCGTTAACTATTTCATCGAATTGCATTTGTATTTAATTTTATACTTCAAATCACATTTGCCATTTATTTTTGTAGATACAAATGCAATTTAATGAAATAGTTAATGATGTTCGATCAACTTGAATTTTTGTAGGTGTGTTCTACTTGGTATACTCTAAAAAGTGAACGGTTTGGATTATAAAAAAGGACCTAATATGAGCCCTTATAACCGCACAATAGTGACTGATATGCTCCCATATAGCAGCTACCTTATCACTGTGACGTGAAAATATGATCTAGTGGCATGTTATGGTTCAATGTCATTTTTTCATGAAGTGCCATGAAAATATTATCTAATAACAAATTTTAAAATGTTATTGACATTTCATTATATGTCATTAGATTACTTTAAATCTAATATACATATATATATATATATATATATCAATTTTTGGACATACCACTAGATAACTCTAATAAATCTAGGAAGCAACTTACCTTCAATTCGAGATCGGACTAGATGGTGCTGTTCGGCCAGCAAGGGCCCACCACGGGTCCCGTTTTGATAATCTGAACCGTTCAATATGTAGAACTCGTGCTTCCAGAATCTGAACAACCAATCCAGCAGTGGAGTGATACTACAAAATGAGTATCACACACACAAGTCACAGTGCAAAATGGCTTGATTGTTGTTTAATGAGAGAGAGTCAGTATGGGAAAAACAAAAAACCTACGTTGTTTTTTTTTTTTTTTGATTACCCATATCCCATATCATATCAGATATATAGGATATCTATGTCATCTATCCATATCAGTTGATATGATAGATATGGATATCTATGTCATCTATCCATATCAGTTGATATGATAGATATAGATATCCTGAGTGGTTATCTAAATAGGTTTTCAATTCAAATTTAAACTTATTTAGATAAGGTTCAAAAGGTTCAAAGAAGGGTCATGCCATATGAGTGCCCAATTTCTAACATCTCCCACTCGCACATGAGTTGGCATGACACTGCCACATCTCTATCTCAATCTCCCCAAAAAATGAACAATCTCATACTAGCCAATGCACCGTGCGACCGCTGAAAACACTTGCATGTGGGAGCTCTATACTAGAAACTCAATATGAGTCAGCATAGAGACATCAACCCAAAATGAACAGAAATAGTGTCTCATGTACCTAGACCCATCTAGCTACATCGGTCCAAAAACATCTCTAATCCCTTAAAGAGCCTGTTTGACTCTCCTAGGTCTCGCATTATATTCACACCCAATCAACATCCCATAGAGAGCGATGTGAGTTGTTGACAATGAATATAGAGCAGAGATGTAGAACTAGATGATCTTCCCTTCACCCTCATATCATTCAATTTGAAATTGACCGCTTTCCCAGTAATGTCCCTTAAAGTCGAATCATACATGATCGCAGGCAACATACCAAAGTAGCTGAACATCAACTCCTTATCTTATGACATAGTCAAAGGTCACAAAAGGCACAAATTGAAGTCCTTCAAGGAAAAAAATGACTTTTAGGACTCACACGGTGAAGAAGCAGGGATCTATTTTTTCACCTCGCTAACGGGTCGATAAGCACGTGTAGTACGAATGCATGCTATAGTGGAGTAACTCTTCCAAAGAGTGATGTTAAAATCACACACCATACAGATCTTAGTCTAGTCGCTCTTAAGCGCACAAGTCGCTTCCTAACGTCTAACTCGAATTCTCTATTTGCTTGCCTCTCAGGCATCAAATGAGATCTCGCATCTGGCTATCCATAACAAGCACATCATGAAAAAGTGGATACTCTCATATCCATGGTCGGTCTCTAACAAGACCTCATCTTGGTTCCAACCAAGGCGACATAACTAGTGGATAATACAATAAGCCACTAGTCTCATCCTTACTCACTACCTAGCGCTAAGGGTGATTGCTCGTGTGAGTGAGCCAATATTGCCTGCTAACATCAATTTAATTATTCTATGTATGCTAATTCACAAACCATTGCAAAAAGTAGTAAACATAAATGTGTAATAGAAACAAATATGAATACTAATGGCATAAATATCCCCAAAAAATGAGTTCAACTGAATACACATAAATATATCACCACCTACATAGTTCTAAAGCCCTAACATGAGTAAGATAAACATCTCTAGCAATAGGCTTAGTCAAAGGGTCCTCAACCATGCGACTCGTAGGGATGTGCTTCAGGATCACTTTTTTTTGCGCCACAATGTCTCTGATAAAGTTGAACCTCACATCAATGTGTTTGGTTCTGCCGTGGTAATTAGGATCCTTAGCGTAAGCAAGTGCAGCCATGCTGTCACAATGGATAGTCACAGGGTTTGAAGTGTGTGTGACAACATCTAAATGTTAAAAGAATCTCCTTAACCAAATGGCTTCCTGAACAGCAGATGAACAAGCCACAAACTCAGCCTCCATAGTTGATAAGGCGATACAGGATTGCTTCTTACTGCTCCAAGAAATAGCACCATCGCTAAGCATGAAAGCATATCCTGAAGTAGACTTACGCTCATCTAAGTCTCCTCCCCAGTCAGCATCACAATAGCCAACTAGATGTAGATCTGAACTTTGGTAGCAAAGTGTGTAATCTGCAGTCCCTCTAAGATATCGTAATATCCTCTTAACTGCTTTCCAATGAGCTGGTCCTGGGTTGGATTGGTAACGACTTACCAATCCGACTGCATAACAAATGTCAAAGCGCGTACACATCATAGCATACATTAAGCTTCCAACAATATTTGCATAGGGAACACGAACCATCTTTTCATTCTCTTCTTGAGTCTTAGGACCCATATCAAGGCTTAGGCTCTCGCCTTTTGCAACAGGAGTGTTAATGGATTTGCAGCTCTACATTTGGAATCACTTTAGGATAGTCTTAATGTAAGTCTCTTGAGACAAACCAAGAAGTCTCCTAGAGCGATCCCTAAGGATCTTAACACCAAGCACATAGCTCGCCTCACCCATGTCTTTCATCTCAAATGTAGAGAACAACCACCTTTTAGTAGCGACAATCATCTCCTTGTCATTTCCAGCCAATAATATGTCATCTACATATAATGACAATATCAGAAAAATTTCCTTGGACCGCTTAACGTACACACAGTGATCTTCATCGATCATCGTAAACCCATTAGAAACAATGGCTCGATGAAATCTTAGATTTTACTGTCTGGATGATTGCTTTAAGCCATAAATAGATCGTTGAAGCTTGCAAACTTTGCGCTCCTGAACTATTACCACAAAGCCTTTTGGTTGATCCATATAGATCTCTTCATCCAATTCTCCATTGATAAATGCAGTCATAACGTTCATCTGATATAGCTCTAAGTCCAACTGAGCTACTATGGCCAGGATTAGGCGAATAGAGGCAAACCTTACAACTGGTGAAAAAGTTTCCT